ACCGAGGTGACCAGAGCAGGAGGTGGGAGGTAGGGGCGAGAGAGAGCTAACATTTATTGAGCAACCGCTATATGCCTTTGCTTATATGACCTCTTTTATGATCACAACCTTTGTGGAATGTGCGTATTCCCACTTTGTTTCCTGATACAGAGAAAATAAAAAACAATGTCTATTTTGTTCAATACTTGATCCATAGATTCTTAGACTGTAACATGGTGACCAGGACAAGAGACGGTCAAAGACCACTTCTTGAAGGAGTGAATGAAGAAACCCCTCAGGGATCTCTGTGTATCAGGAGAGAGGACCCTATAAATACATGCATGTAGAATAATAGGTGGGCGAGTCTCTCACGAAAGGATGTGGAAAACAAATAGAAAAGGGAGAGTAAGTAAAGCTCCTCGGTGGGTGGGCAGGAAAGTTGACAGGAAGGCTTTGTCTCTTCTTCGCTAAGATGAGGGGCTGTTTGAGCTGGTCTTGGAGGAGGAATAGGAAGTTATCATGTAAAGAGAGGGGGTAAGAGGGACTCCCAGGTGGAGGAAACTGCTGGGCAAAGTGTGAGATGGAAGATGCACTTAGGGAATGTCTAATGAGCTTAGGGAACTTCTGGAAGCATCGGAATGGGTGGAGTAGAGGCAGAGGCAGGGGACCAAGGGTGTTGCAGTAAGTAAGGCCAGAGCAGCTGTTCGGAGCCAGATCACAGAGTAGGGTGGGGGATTCATGGGCCAAGTCAAAGATCTGAACTGTCTCAGGCCGGGTGTGGTGTCTCACGCCTGTCATCCCAGTGCTCTGGCAGGCCAAAGTGGATGGATCACCTGGGGTCAGGAATTTGAGACCAGCCTGGTCAACATGGCAAAACCCCGTCTCCACTAAAAATGCAAAACAATTAGCTGAGCGTGGTGATGCGTGTCTGTAATCCCAGCTACTAGGAAAGCTGAGCAGGAGAATCACTTGAACCTGGGAGGCAGAGGTGGCAGTGAGCCAAGATCATGCCACTGCACTCCAGCCTGGGCAACAGAGCAGGACTCTGTCTAAAATAAAAATAAAAAATAAAAATAAAATAAAATAAAAAAAAACCACCACGATCTGAACTCTCTCCTAAGGACTGTGGCAGCCACAGCAGATTTGAAGCAGAGAGAGATGGAATTAGATTAAGGTTCAGGAAGGTCACTCAGGTGGTGCAGTATGGAGAGAGCAGCTCAGTAGCTGGAGAACCGCTAGGCAGGACAAGACTGTGCTCATGGGCCTGGGGTAGCAGACACAGAAAGGTTTAAGAACGATGCTTGGCAGGACTCCTTGGCAGCGTGGGTGGGCAGGAAGGTGTGCAGAGCTTCTTCTGGTCTGGATGGGCTGCGTTCTGCTAGCTCAGGAAGACAGCCCAGGGTGCTTGAAAATGCTAGCAAAGTGCTGGACATCGTCAGCACCGTCCCACCATGGAACAAAGCTGTGTCAGCCCTGATAGGCTCCAGACATTGTGGGTGCCTGGGGATGTCTGTGTATTCAACAGGGTGGAGCTAGAGAAGGAGCCAAGTTCCTGACAAGGTGGTCACGCCTTTCTAGTCTGGAAGGAAGGAGGCTAAGGGGGGCATGGCAAGAGTCTAGAAAACCAAGAACAGGTTTGCCATCGCATTGCCAAGGGGGCTACACAAAAGAGGAAAACGGAATGGAGCTTAAGCACACCTGTCGAGGGTTGGACAAATTCCCGGCTGAGAGGATGGACTGGAGCTCCAGGGGCCCAGGCTGCACTCTTAAGGGTAGAGGACAGCCCCACTTTTGTCCTTGTCCAGCACACGATCTGGTGGCCCTGGAGAACCAGCTCTCTGGCCACAGAGAAACTGCACACCCTGAGGTGATACTGAGGGATCCAGGAGCCAGCCCCAGCACAGGCCATCCGGAGGTGGTGCAGACACTTGCTGCCCGTCTCTGGGCCTGGCTTTCTCATCTGTGAAAGGAAGGGCCGATCCGCGTGGTGGTCCTGGTGCCTCCCAGTTTTCATTTTCTGTTACTGTTGCTGGCTCAGGTGTAGGATACACATGGTGAGGAGAGGGGCTGGGGAGATGAAGAGGCCAGGAGGCAGAAAGGCCACCAGGATCAGGGCCTGGGACTTCAGGGGACCTAGAGTGTGGACACAGTCATTCATCGGAGGTTTGCTGAGCACTCACCAGGTGCCAGAGACCATTCTAGGCTCTAAGGACAGAGCAGTGAACAAAACAGACCCAGTGCCTGCGGCTACCTATCTGGAGCTCACACTCTGGTAGATGAGCTGGGCCTGTGGGTCTCCTAGCTCGTTGGGTACAGCTGAAGTCTTCCTGGGCCCAGGAGGGTGGGTGACCTCAGAGGGTCCCTGTGTGTGCCCTTGCAGGTGTTCTCCGTGGCGCCCCCATTTGAGGTAAACGGCCTCCCACGAGCTGTGCCTCTGAGCCTGCCCTACCAGGACTTCAAGAGAGACCTTTCCGATTACCGAGAACGGGCTCGGCTGCTCAACAGGGTCCGGAGGGTGGGCTTCTCGCACATGCTGCTCAGCACCTCCCCGGTCCCACTGGCTCCTGTTCAGCCTCAGGCTAATGGGAAGGAGGAAGAGGAGGAGGAGGAGGAAGAGGAGGAAGAGGAAGAAGACGACGAGGAAGAAGAAGAGGAAGAAGAGGAGGAGGAAGAGGAAGAGGAGGAGGACGAGGAGGACGAGGAGGAAGAGGCCGCTGAGGTGGCGGTGGCCTTGGGGGAGGTGCTGGGGCCTCGAAGTGGCTCCAGCAGTGAGGGGAGCGAGAGGAGCACCGACCGGAGCCAGGAGGGCGCCCCGTCCACGCTGCTGGCCGATGATCAGAAGGAGTCCAGGGGCCGGGCCTCCGTGGCCGATGGGGACCTGGAACCTGAGGAAGGCTCCAAAACGCTGGTGCTTGTCTCTCCTGGCGACATGAAGAAGTCGCCTGTCACTGCCGAGCTGGCTCCTGACCCCGACCTGGGCACCCTGGCTGCCCTCACTCCTCAGCACGAGCGGCCCCAGCCCACAGGCAGCCAGCTGGACGTATCTGAGCCAGGCACCCTGTCCTCCGTCCTCAAGTCTGAGCCCAAGCCCCCAGGGCCTGGGGCAGGACTGGGGGCGGGGACAGTGACCACAGGGTCCGGGGGTGTGGCAGTCACCTCCTCACCCTTCACCAAAGTTGAAAGGACCTTTGTGCACATTGCGGAGAAAACCCACCTCAATGTCATGTCTTCCGGTGGACAAGCCTCTCGGCCTGAGGAGTTCAGCACTGGGGGCGAGCTGGGTCTGGAGCTGGCCTCTGATGGAGGCGCTGCTGAGGAGGGGGCCCCGGCACCCCTGGAGAATGGCCTTGCCCTGTCAGGGCTGGATGGGGCTGAGATAGAGGGCTGCACCCTGCCGGGGCCCCCTGAGGAAACGCCCTCAGAGGTGGCCACAAACTCACTGCCCAACGGCCTGGCCCTTGCAGACAGGCCAGCCCCGGTGTCCCCGCTGGAACCAAGCCCTGAGAAAGTGGCCACCATCTCCCCCAGACGCCATGCTATAGCAGGCTCCCGCCCCAAGAGCCGTATCCCCGTCCTGCTGTCTGAGGAGGACACGGGCTCGGAGCCCTCAGGCTCGCTGTCGGCCAAAGATCGGTGGAGCAAGCGAGCCCGGCCGCAGCAGGACCTGGCACGGCTGGTGATGGAGAAGAGGCAGGGCCGCCTGCTGTTGCGGCTGGCCTCGGGGGCCTCCTCCTCTTCCAGTGAGGAGCAGCGCCGTGCCTCTGAGACGCTCTCAGGCACAGGCTCCGAGGAGGACACCCCTGCCTCTGAGCCAGCAGTGGCCTTGCCCAGGAAGGCCGGGCGGGCAGCCGCCACCCGGAGCCGGATTCCCCGCCCCATCAGCCTCCGCATGCCCATGCCTGCTGCAGCCCAGCAGCCCCCCAGCAGATCCCAAGGCGCGGCCCCAGCGTCGGACACAGCCAACACCAGCAGGTGAGAAACCGCTGTCAACCCCAGGGTGGGCAGAGGGTGACCGCAGGCCTCCACCAGCAGGGGCTTCTCCAGAACCAAGGTCAGGGGCTATGGACGATCAGGAGGGACCCTCAGTGACACCTCCTGTCCAGCACCGTCCAACTGTGCTCTGCCTCACTCTGATTTGGGTTCCAGCCCTGTCACTGGGCTCAGGGGAGTGACTTCAGTGAGTACATGTGGAGGGGGTGCTGGAGAGGCCAGGCTTGGGAAAAGGTGATGAGGGCCGATGGGTCCACACACAGCCAGCCTCTGGTGTGCCACGGGGCATTGCAAGCCAAAAGATAAAGCTCAGAGCTTTGACTCCTTGGGAGAAAACATTATTTCGTATTAATATAAACATAAGTATATTCTAGATTAGAATGCAAAATCCATGAGAATTTTAAAGATGAAATGAGGACCTCAAAGAGAGCCAGCAGCAGGCTCTTCCAGCAACAGCCTGGGAGCATGCAGCTCCTTGTGGTCCTGCCTGGAGGGCAGAGAGCCAGGCCTCAGTTTACCCATCTGTGCCATGGCCTTAGTCTCAGCTCTTGAGGAGGCAGGACTCTAGTGCTCAGTGCTTAGGCGGATTCTGAAATATTTCTCCTTGTTTTGTTTCTTTACCCTCTTCTGCTCTCAAGCAGGCTGCAGTTGCAGAAGCCCCCAGGGTCGGCCACTGCTGCTGACCTCCGCCCCAAACAACCTCCTGGCCGTGGCCCGGGCCCAGGGCGAGCCCAAGCCGGAGCCAGGCCCTCCGCCCCGCGCAGCCCGGGCCACCCCACATCCGCGTCTGCGCGCAATCCCAGCGCGTCCCCCCGGAGCCAGTCCCTGTCTCGCAGAGAGAGCCCCTCCCCCTCGCACCAGGTCCGGCCAGGGGTCCCCCCGCCCCGGGGCATCCCGCCGGCCCGGGCCCAGCCTGATGGCACCCCCTCCCCCGGGGGCTCCAAGAAAGGACCCAGAGGGAAACTCCAGGCTCAGCGCGCAGCAACCAAAGGCCGGGCAGCAGGCGCAGAGGGCCGGGCTGGGGCCAGATAATGACGCCCGCGGCTCCCCGCGGCCCCCCACCCTCACCCCGGACCCCCACCCGCAGCCGGCCACACTGGAGCAGCTCCCAGCACAGCCTTACGCGCCCGACGCGCACCACCCGCGGCCCCAGCTTTCCGCCTGCACCCGCGAGGACGCGCGCGAGCACACGCGGCGCCCTGCCAGCCTTCAGGGCAGGTGGGGGACGCGGCACCGCGCCACGGGGAGGGTCCGCCTCCCCTTCCTCGCCCGGTGTCCTCTCATCCTCCTGCCGCTCGTCAGGCCGGCCAGCCTCACATCAGTCTCTCCGCCCCGGGAAGGCTCAGCCACTTTTCATCGAGGACTCCACTTCTGGGGACACCCGGTTCGTTTGCCCACCAGGCCTAGGCTGCTCTCCATGCTCCCCTAGCAACCTCTGCCTACGCCTCCTGCCCTCCTCCGACCCCTTTCCAGCCAAAGTCCCCCCGCCCCTTCAGAGAAGCAGCATCAAATTCCAGAAGTGGAGGCTTCAGCCTCCCGGCGAGGGTCCAGCCCCACAGTCTCCTGAGAGCCATTGCGGCCAGGGACGGCCTCTGGACTGCCAGGCTGGGGTTGGGGACCCAGGGAACATCAGTCTACTCAGGTGTGAGGGGGCAGGTCTGACCTGCCCCAAAGTTGGCTCCATCCTGGACACCTTGGTGGGAGGCAGTGGGCAAGCGATTTTGGAGATGAGTGGGCAGGTGATTCCGCCGGGGGGATGGGGGCAATGTGCTCCCCTGCACATCTGGGGTGCAGAAAGCTCTTGCCTCCTAAATTTGGGTGGAGCCTCTGTGGGAACCACAGGAAGTGTGTGGGCTGCCTTCCTGGGCAAGTATTTCCCAGTGGGAAGTTGGAGGGGGCTTTAACAAAGTTTTACTCCCTCCCCTGTTCCCCTGATCTAGTGCTCAGGACCCCGCCATCAGGAATTCCTTCCTGTCATCTAACCTCACTCCTGCCTACTGCAGTTCCAGCCAACCTGCCCTTTCATGAGTTCAGTGCAGGTGGAGAACGGTTGGTCACCATCTTTGCACTGGCCCTTTGGAGATTTGGGGACTCAGTTCTAGTGGTGTCACCCTCCCTGTCCTCCCGCCTGTGGGAGGGACGGAGGGCTGGCTCAGGCATTGTCTCCCGCAGTGGGCAGAGAGAACAGAGGCAGGCTGACCAACAGACAGCTGGCACCTGGAGGCAGAAAGGCCCTTCTAACTTCCAGATTGTGTGCTTGAGTGATGGGTCCCCAGCCCAAGCCCACTCTTCCCTCAGCTCACCCTTCAGCCTGTTCCCTCTTGCCCCGACTCCAGCCTGTGCAGCTGCTCTGCTCCAGGAACGGATATGGGGACTCTTCCTGGGTTCTGGCTCCTGCATAGCTCATCCCACTTCATCATGAGCCTCAACTGCCTACATCTGGGGCAAGCAGCACACCGGCTGCAGATGGGACAGCCAGCCCTGCCTATCTGGACAGGCCCCTTAGCCTCTGTCCCCTGGCCTAGGCTCTCTGTCCTTCCCTGAGTCACAGAGAGCAAGCCAAGATATCCAGGGAAAGAGGAAGAAAGGCCTTAGTGTGCCCCAGCGGTCTGGCTGCATCCAGCCACCATCACCCGGAAGGATGCCCATGAGGCAGCTGACCCCGAAAACAGCCTCCCCCTCATGAAGAGTCAGCAGCTTGGGCAGCCACTTCCAGGCCAGGGTGGTGGCTTCTCTGCAGACCAGCTGAGGGGAGGACTCCTGGGTGGACAGCCTTTGACATCCACCCCACGCTGATGCAGAAGCACCCAGAACACTCAGGAAACTTCTCCGGACAGAGCCCTCCTTGTCAACTTGAGGCCCTCCCAAGACCCTCTACTGCCCTCTGAGTCCAGCAGAGGGGATGGAGGAGGGGCCACTGCCTCCCACCTAGAGCTTCTCCGAATGACAATCAGCTCGTGCCAGGTGGGGACCAGGGCATGACTCCTGGTGCCCAGGCCCTGGGCCTGCTCCTTGCCACCAACCGAACCGTGAATGTAGGGCCCCCAGCGTCACCTCTGCCCCAGGACCAACAACACCCTGGTTTGTAGCTGGGAGGAAGAGGGGGGCCTGAGAGAGCCCCAGGTCCATTCTACCCTCAGCTTCACTCAGCACTGGAGCTGGCAGAGACGCAAAACCCATTCTGCCCTTGGGATTCCAGACCTCCCTAGGGCTCCCAACTGACCTCAGGCCTCTGAGTCACTGAATGTCACCAGACGAGGTAGGGGAGGGAAAGTGGGACAATGGGGAGGGAGTCACCTAAGGTACTGCCTCTGTGCCTCTCCCCAGGAAGGATCTAGGGCAGAGAAAGCCACATCTCCCGGTGCCCCCAACCCCAGCTGCAGCCTCCTCCCCCTGAGCATTCATTCTCTCCACCAGGCCTCCAGGTCCTGAGCCCTTTCTCTGTAAAAGCATCACACCACCTCCCTCAGCACTTCCCCATCACAACAACCTATGTCACTGAGTCAGATGCAGGGTCTGCTCACCCAGACACATGCCTTCCCTCCCCAGCCGCACCATGCACGAAAGGGGCACAGTGGGGGCAGGGGGATGTGCCCCAGGCTCCCCATTCCCCAGCTCCTCACAGGGGCCTGGCTTGCCCAGTCTTCTCAACTCCAGGGACCAGCCCTGGTGGGCATGGGGTGGGGAGCAGGGAGTTACCCTTCCCCTCCCTCGGGAAGCCACCTAAGAATGTTTACATGCCAAACAGAATGTAACACCCCTCCCCAACCCCTTCCCAGTCACTGCATGGCCTCTGCCCATCCTGCGCCTGTCCACCCCGCCCCAACACCCTGGAAGCCGCTGTCAATGATTAGATCGGGTCTCGGAAGGGAAGTAGCCATCACACCATTAAAAAGCCTGTGGACCTTTTTCTGTTGGCCTGGACTCTTCTTCCCTGCGGGAGGGCAGGCAAAACCCAGCTCCTGGGGCTGGGGGCTGGGCAGAAGAGTAGAGCACAGCATGGTGGGCAAGTGTGAGGGACTGTCCTGGAGGTGGGGGAGGAAATGAAAGCTCAGGACAGACACAGGTAACTTGCTCAGGGTCACACAGGAGGACGGGGACTGTCCTGCTGTCCCTCTGACTGCAAAACATGTACTCTCACAGCCCTCTGGACACTTGGGACAGAAACTCTAAGTCTGGTTTTCTGCAGAGATCAGGAGGAAATTTTTTTTTAATTGTTTGTACAAATTGCTGAAGTACATGAGAAATTTTGTTACATGTATATAATGTGCAGTGACCAAGCCAGAGTGTTTACAGCATCCATTAGCCAAGTACAATACATTTTGGTTAAATATAATCACCTTACTCTGCTTTTGAACATTGAATTTATTCCTTCTATCTCACTGTATGTGTATACCCTTTATTATATATATATATAGATATATATATAATATATGTATTTATTTATTTATTTATTTTGACAGAGTCTTACTCTGTTGCTCAGGCCAGAGTACCGTGGTGTAATCTTGGCTCATTATAATTTCTGTCTCCCTGGTTCAAGAGATTCTTGTGCTTCAGCCTCCTGAGTAGCTGGGATTACAGATGTGTGCCACCACGCCTGGCTAATTTTTGTATTTTCACTAGAAACAGGGTTTCCCTATGTTGGCCAGGCTAACTTCGAACTCCTGACCTCATGTGATCGGCCTGCCTTGACCTCCCAATGTGCTGGGAGTACAGGGGTGAGCCACCACGCCCTGCCTGCACCCTTTAATCAGCTTCTCTTCCTCCTTCCCACTCTCAAGAAAGAATTTTCATTACCCCAAAGTTAACAGACAAAGGTGAGTGTTTTGAAAACCATGCAGTATAGCAGTTCATAGGCAAGGTAATTATTATGAAAAAAATCTGTCAAAATCACAAATAAGCATAGCTTGTGACCCAGCTTCTCCACTTTAGAACTATATCCTATGGATATACTCATATACTTGCAAAATTACTTGTGTCCAACGTTATTCACTGCAGTATTCTTTGTATAGCTCTAGAAAGCCTCATCTGCACTTGTGAAACCCAGAAAGTTCTGGAAACTGGGATTTCTCCCATTAGATTGGCACACACTCATTTGTTATATATATATAAACTGATGAGACCATTTGTAGTTTTTATTAATTCCACTTATCATCCATGTTTGCAGTAGAAATATTAATGTGTTTGATGATGGGGTAGGTCCCATTAGGCTATTTTATTTTATATTTTTTTGAGATAGAATTTCGTTCTTGTTGCCTAGACTGGAGTGCAGTGGTACGGTCTCAGCTCACTAAACGTCCGCCTCCCAAGTTCAAGAGATTCTTCTGCCTCAGCCTCCCCAGTTGCTGAGGTTACAGGCGCCTGCCACCACATCCAGCTAATTTTTCTATTTTTAGTAGAGATGGGGTTTTACCATTTTGGCTAGGCTGGTCTTGACCTCCTGACCTCAGGTGATCTGCCCGCCTCAGCCTCCGAAAGTGCTGGGATTACAGGTGGGAGCCACCGAACCCGGCTAACCATTAGGGTATTTTATAATATGTGGAATATGTGCCGAATTACCTTTCTGAATACATATATAGTTGACCCTTGAACAACACAGGGGTTGGGGCACCGACCCTCTTGCTGTTGAAAATTTACATATAGCTTTTGATTCCCCAAAACTTCATTAATAGCCTACTGTCAACCGGAAGCCTTACCAATAATAAACAGTCGATTAACACATATTTTATATGTTTTATATATATTATATACTGTATTCTTACAATAAGGTAAACTAGAGAAAAAGATGTTATTAAGAAAACTATGAAGAAGAGAATATTATGAAGTGGAAGGGATCATCATAAAGGTCTTCATCCTCACTGTCTTCATATTGAGCAGGCTGAGGAGGAGGAAGAAGAGGGGTTGGTCTTGCTGTCTCAGGGGTGGCAGAGGCGGAAGGGGTGGAGGAGATGGAAGCAGGAGAGGCAGGTACAAAACATGTCTTTTATTGAGAAAAATCGGTTTATCAGCAGACCAGTGCAGTTCAAACCTGTGTTATTCAAAGGTGAACCATACATGTGTGTACTTCTCACCCCAACCGTGTGGATAAGAGACAGTGGACCTACAAAAGTTCAGAAGAAATCTAAGTGCCCACTTGGGGCTGCTCAGTAGAGCATGGCCCACCCATAAGATGGGGCCCCCGACCACGGAGTACTGTGAGACTCTAAAATGATGGAGGCTAACTGAGTGCTGCGGTGTGTCTGTAGTCTAGCCACTTGGGTGGCCGAGGTAGGAGGATTACTTAAGCCCAGGAGTTTGAGTCCAGCCTGGGCAACATAGCGAGACCTCTTTCTCTAAAAAAACTAAGTAAATGAAGGAGGTGTCTCTTTGTGTAGTATACGCTATGGACCAGTCTCCAAGACAAAGAATAAGAAAATGAATTGTGCATATAATGTACAATTTTGTGTGTGGAAAAGGGGTGAGATGAGTGAGAGGTGTCTGGCTGCTGCGGGGCAGGAGAGCTGGATGGAAAGGGGGCTTTGTTCGGGTATAGATACGGCAGGAGCTTGTGAATTTTGAACCCTAGGTTCACTCGGTGTAAATCTTCCACCTCGTCAATGTATAAACAACTTTGGTTCCAGGCCAGAGTCCTGGCCTTGCCTGAGATCCAAGGTAAAAAGGCCCAAGCTTGCAAAGTCCTGCTCTCCCTCCAAAAAGGCCACTCCCCGACATTCCAGAAACATCATGGCTCCCTGGGACAATCTTTGTCAGTATGGATGCCAGCATGCTCTAGGCCCTGATTCATCAGCCTTCAGTGTAATCTCCATGTGATTTCAACCTTCCTTCTTGTTTAAACTGTCAAAAGCAGGACCTACTTATAGTAAAAAGGCAAATACAAAGGCATATAAAATAAAAGCTCCCTCCCTATCCACGAAACTGACCACATAGAGGTAACTCTTGCAAATGGCTTGGTGTGTTCCATGTCAGACCTTCTTTTTCCTGTCTGTAATTAACAGCGTTCTCTTTTTCTGTCTATATGTACATATTTATTATAAATAAAAAGAAGAGCATATTATACCTACTATTCTGAAACATGGCTTTTTTTTTTTTTTTTTTTTTTTTTTTTGAGGCAGCATCTCACTCTGTCACCAGGCTGGAGCACAGCAGCACGATCACGGCTCACTGCAGCCTCAATACCATCTTCCCAGTCCTGGGCTCAGGTGGTCCTCCTACCTCAGCCTTCCAAGTAGCTAGACCCACAGGTGAATCCTACAAGGCACGGTTAATTTTCTTTTTCTTTCTTTCTTTCTTTTTTTTTTTTTTTAACAGAGATTGGGTTTCCCATGCTGGTCTTGAATTCCTGGGCTAAAGTGATGCACTGGCTGCAACCTCCCAAAGTATTAGGATTACAGGTATGAAGGCTGGACACGGTGGCTCATGCTTGTAATCCCAGGACTTTGGGAGGACGGATCATGAAGTTAGGAGTTCAAGACCAACCTGGCCAACATAGTGTAAACCCCGTCTCTACTTAAAAAAAAAAAAAAAAAAAAAAATCCAAAAAATTAGCCAGGCATGGTGGCAGGTAACTGTAATCCCAGCTATTTGGGAGGCTGAGGTAAGAGAATCATTTGAACCCGAGAGGCAGAGGTTACAGTGAGCTGAGATCACACATGCCAGCCTGGGCTACTACAGCGAAACTGTCTCAAAACAAACAAAGAAACAAAAAGGATTACAGGTGTAAGACACCATGCCTGGCTGAAACATGCTTTTTATGACCAAATATGTCTTAAAATACAGATCTTCATCCTTTTAAAAAATTACTTTATTGAAATATAATTTACACGTCATACAATTCACCAATTTAAATTGTACAACTCAATGGTTTTCAGTGTATTCAGAGTTGTACAACCATCACAGCAATCAATTTTAGAACATTCCCATCACCCCAAAAAGGCACTCCCTACAGTCACTCTCTCTCTTTCTTTTTTTTTTTTTTCTTTTTTTTTGATGAGTCTTGTTCTATTGCTCAGGCTGGAGTGCACTGGTACAATCCTGGCTCACTGCAACCTCCGCCTTCTGGGTTCAAGTGATTTTCCTGCTTCAGCCTCCTGAGTAGTTGAGACTACAGGCACCTACCACCACGCCCAGCTAATTTTTTGTATTTTTAGTAGAGACAGGGTTTCACCATGTTAGCCAGGATGGTCTCAATCTCCTGACCTTGTGATCCACCCACATCGGCCTCCCAAAGTGCTGGGGTTACAGGTGTGGGCCACTGCGCCTGGCCACAGTCACTCTGTTTTACCACAACCCATGGCCCTAAGCAATCACTAATGTACCTTCTGTCTAAAGATATGACTATTTTGGACATTTCATATAAACGAAGTCATATAACATATGATGTTGGCCAGGTGCAGTGCTCACTCCCATAATCCCAGCATTTTGGGAGACCAAAGCAGGTGGATCACTTGAGGTTAGGAGTTCAAGACCAGCCTGGACAACATGGTAAAATCTCATCCTCCTAAAAGTACAATTAGCCAGGTGTGGTGGTGCGCACCTGTAATCCCAGTTACTTGGGAGGCTGAGGCAGGAGAACTGCTTGAATCTGGAAGGCAGAGGTTGCAGTGAGCTGAGATTGCACCACTGCACTCCAGCCTGGGCGATAGAGCGAGATTCTGTCTAAAATATATATATTTTATATATATATATATATATATACACATACATATATATACATACATATATATATATAATATATATGATATGTTGGTGACTATCTTCTTTCGCCTAACATGTTTTCAAGGTACTGCCATATTGTAGCATTTATGAGTACTTCATTCCTTTTTATTGCCAAATAATATTGTATTGTATGGAAATACCACATTCTGTTTATCCGTTTGTCAGTTAATGGACTTCGGGTTGTTTCTGCTTTA